GGGAAGGAAGGGGGCGAGGGGCTTCGAGCCCCCGCCGCACGGCAGTGATGGAGAGAGTGCCGTTCCCTGCTGGAAGCAGCCGTGATAAATAATACAGCAGCTCCTCGTTAGTTCTGCACCAGCAAACAGATAATCGTGAGCAGCTCCTCTGAGCGAAGCCAGCCCGACCTCCCCCTGCTTGGGAGCGCTGGCAGGATCTGCGGGGGGAGGCGGTGCGGGGTGGTACCCGCTGGCACACTTGGGGAAGGCGGGGGATTTGCTACGCATGCATGAATCTTCTGCTTGCACATTTCCAGACAAAGGCAACATGATGAGGCGGTCCTGTCGCCTGCCGGCTCCTCAGGTTTGGTGACCTGACCGAGACAGCTCTTGGTTTCCAGCAGATGCGGGGGGTTCATCCCCACGCACAAAGCCCAGCACAATCTGTGAAAGGATGGAAGTCAAATTAATCTATATCCTGCACTTTTCTTGTCCCTCTCCTTGCATTCGCCATTTTTCTCTGGCCAGTCACAAAAGACCAGCTTCCTCAGTCTGACGACGGGTGCCAACACATTGAGCTGCAGGAACTTAGCTAATTGATTTAAAAATAATTCAAAATACTCCTGTCCTGGACTGGTGAAAATTTGAAGTACTCATTGCAAGGTGAAACCACTCTGGCTTTTGGATTTCATCCTAATCAATTTGTTAATGTTACTACATTTTATTAGCAAAACAGAATCAGCAGATGCTTGGTTCACTAAAAGTGACTGTGCTTATCACTGCAATAAGGTGTGAGAATACGTGAAAAACAGCGTGTTTCAGAGTAGAAATGTAGACTTGTGGCAAGAGGAGTACTGTGAAACACAGAAACTGTTGTCCACCAGTTATTGTTGGTGCCTGGATCGCTGTTCCTGCTCATTTCGAGTCATAAATTCAAAATACCCATATACTCCTCCCCACTATTTTTTTGTCGGTGGGGAGTAGCTATAAAATACATAGTTTGTAGTTTACAGGTGTTACTTTGTGGCAGTAACATATTCTGGACTTCTCAAGGCTGTGTGTTTTTATGAGTTTGCTCTCATAATACAGGGAGGCTTGTCCTTGATGGACCTCAGACTCATCTTTCTTGCAGCGCTGTGCACAGCAGTCTCTTCCATGTATGCTCTTCTAGGAGCCTGGTCATGGTTTTGCATTGGTACACAATTAAAAATGTGTTGTATAAATTGTATCATCTGGGTTTCTTTATATGTAGTGCAAAAACAATGTGAAATATATTCAGCTGATGAAAAACTGCTTGGTTCAGTTTTAACAAGCACTGAAATGGGAGAAAACATTGTTCCAGCTACTTTGAATAGACAATGTGCTTCCACACGGAAGCTGGTTATGAAAGGATTTTTAAAAATACATTCCATACTGCCAAGTTCCAATGGTGATTTTTGTTTACCCTGCTGGCTAAAAAAGCAGACAGGAATAATATTTTCAGAAAGAGGAAACTGAGTAGGAAAGAAGTACCCATACACATCTTGCATGCAGGAGGAGCGTGTTTGTCATGTGATGAAATCCTGCAGAAACCTTCTGTGTGAACAGGAGAAAAGAAGAATGTTGTGGGGCATAGGTGGGACTAAGAGTAGGCAGATCTGGTTTCTGTCTTTTGAGGATATACCAGGATATACATAGCTCAGTATGTGTTGGGGGGTTTGGCAGCAAAGTGCAAGGAGATGCTACAGGCACTGCTAACTACCAAAGGAAAAAGCTCCACGTGGCCTTGGCCTGACCAGTGTTGGCTAGTGGCATCTCTGCCTGGTAGCCATGCGGTGCACACTTGGACACCACAAGGGGCAGGCACTGTGGTTGAGGCAGGGGTGCTAATGCTGCAGGGGATCCAAGGGCAGGGCAGGAGACCTCTGCAGCCCCCAGAAAGGGCTTCTCCCCAGGTAAGGAAGGAGTGACAAAGTCTGCTGACTTGGCAGGAATCCTTGCTGCAGATGCTTCTCCTTGTACTCTGCTCAAGAGAACCCGGGAGGCTGATGGGGAAAAAGCTTCTCATAATTCCCTGAAGTGCTGACAGCTGCTGGCTAAATTCAGGCAGTTACTAGGATGAATGTCCTGGAGGCGGGCCTGGAGGAGAGTTGGAAGACAGTCAACAGGAGAGCAGCAAAATACCAAATAAAAGTGTTTTTCCCAGAATTTCCCATGTGTGTCCAGATGCTGTTAGGTGGCATGGCCCAGAATCAAAATTTCAGTGGGGCTCTGGGGTGGTTGCTTTAGATAGGAGGCTGGGAAGTGTGGATGGTCCTTCTAGTTATTGTTTTGGCAACACTGCAGAGTTGTGTCGGAAGAAAAGTCAGTATTTCAGGAGTCCTGTAACAAAGGCAGAGGTGAGGTCAGAGGGGAACTTAAAGTTCTATCAATAGATTTAGTATTTCCTTTTATAAAATATGTATCAAACAGCATGGGTTTTGACAGTTCTCTGCAGCTGTTCCTAATGTATGTCTGGGAAACTGGAAATTCCTCTAAGTTTTCCTTCAAAAATGTAGACACATGACTGACTTGCCATCACAAGGAGAGCAGGGGCCTTCAATGCTGAAGACATTTTACCTTTGGGATCCTGGGCTTGTTCTGCAGCTCTGGACTCTCCTTTTAGGGGGCCAGAGTATGGATTTGAAGTTCTCACTTCACTACTGGGGGAAGATGACAATTTGGACTTCAAAAGCTTTTCATCCTCATCTTACTGCTTTCACTCCTTGTTACTCTTTGTGTTGTTTAGAAGTTTGGAATGAAAATCTTTTTAATAAATTATCAGAAGATTATATCAAGATTGTATCAGAGCTCAAATGTAAATGTCCAAACACCACAGTAGACTGGAAAATGGTCATGGCTCTGAGCATTTTAATGGGAATAAATTGCATCACACTGGCACCTCTGTCCTCTGCATACTTCTGGCTTATCACTGGCATAGTATTTCATGTGTACTTCATCAGAGCTTTGTAAATTGTGCTTCTGTGCTATTTACTTGATGTTTTAGAATCTAACAGGTGATTTGGCTGCACTCCAGCTCTGTTTGATAATAGCTCTTCAAGAGGAAATGCTTAATAGATGCTTGTGAATGAATTAGTTTCCTCTCTGGATTTTTTTTCCTTTTCAGGTGTCTCAGGCAGCTGCAGAACTCCAGCAGTACTGTATGCAAAATGCCTGCAAAGATGCCTTGCTTGTTGGGGTTCCTGCAGGGAGCAATCCCTTCCGAGAACCCCGATCCTGTGCTCTGCTCTGAAATCAGGTAATAAAGTCACAGGTGCCATGACAACCACTCTAATTTGAAACCCAAGTCCTTGAGGGGACAAAGACAGTAATAGTTGTTTTAGTGTTGAGCTCTTGCTCAAGTGTCCATCATTTCTCTGCTGGTTCTGCAAATGGCTTTCTGGGTTTTTTAGGTGTGGCAGTTGAAGCATGTCTCTCTTTTCTACAGCTCTTTCTAGAGGTGTTTTCTTTATGAGTTGTTTTATTTTGTTGGCATCATTGTGTTCTTGTGTTTATGTAGTAATAAAGTAATTAGCAGCATACAAACTAATTAAAATTGTCTAAGACACACAGCTGTGTTTGACACAGCCAGGCAGTAGACAGTCACATAGCCAGCTTGGAGAAGAATGTGGCAATTTTGTATGTTCTGGTGACTAGCTCACAGCTTAAGCAAGACTCATGTTAAAATACGTTTAGTTCTTTAATGCCATATTGCAGTTCATTTTGCGGTGTCTGTCCTTAGGCTCTTCCTGTTCTTACTGTTGGTACAGAACCAAAACCAGTGGAAGTAGAGAGGAGCTGAGGAAACCTGTAATCACATCCTTTGTGATCTTTTTCAGCACAGATCTAAGGGATGAGCTACTCCCTGAACTCTGCCTTAGTGCTCTGCATTGCCTGTACCCCTGTGACACCTGCAGAGTAGGTGGGTGGGTGGCCGTCCAACATTTGCAAACCTTTGGGATCCAGTTCCATGATTCCCAGTCTGGCCTCTCCCATTTGTCACAAAAGTTATCAGCAGGAGAGAGAAAGGTCATGCACACTAGTAGTCTTGAGCAGAACATCATCATAACTTGGAAAATCTTCTTTTGTTTGACACACAAATTTGGAAGTAGGATAGTCAGAAGGGGTTACTTCTCCTTAAAAGAAAAAATATAAATAGTTCCTGCTAAAGAACTGAAAAATCTACAGAGAGTGAAAGAAACACAGAAGTCTGTTCTTTTGATGAGAGTGCTATTAAAGAAAAAAACTTAATGTTTTCTCTAAGGGCAGAATTTAAGCTATAACATGAAGTCCTTGTAGAATCTTCCCCTTGCTGCTGCCAGTTGTTCCTGAGCTTGCACTTGAGCTTTTGCCTCATCAAATGCATGGCTTCAATTGTTGCTACACAGGTTTAACAAAATAGGATTGAACCTAAAGAAAGGGAACAACTGAACATGAGATGCTTTTCTGGAAAAATTTGGAGAGGGTGAAGAAAAAGCAGATTTTCTTAATTTGGGTACTACTTGTAACTCTTCCTGCAAATAAGATAAAGTTTTTAATGACCATTGCATATGTTCTTCTGTTATTTAAGCAGCCTTTATACTTTTTGGTTTTTGAGGAGTCTGTGTGTGTGTGTGTGTGTGTGTGTCTATGTATTTTGAGGTGATCACATCATACAGATGCATTACAAAGTATCTTCTCAGAAGGACTTGATGATTAATTTACAGTACGTTTAAAATTGCATCACTCAGCCCAAGATGTCATTTGGTATTTTTTTGCTGATAGATCAAATATTTAGTTTATTATTCTTGTGTTACCACAGGATCATAAAAAATTCAGAGCAAAGTAAAAAAGCCGGTTAAAAATTTTATGATATGGTGAGGATACCAGCATCCAGCAAAGGATAGTCATTTGGTTTTTCTCAGTGCAAAGAAACTGTTGTAGTTTGTAAGAGAAATTACATTTATTAGCTTAAGAAGATGGCATTTAATAAGCCTTTTTTCTTCTTCTTGTAGGGAAGGTCATTGGAGAATTGCCTTCAAGCATGACATGAATAACAACTGCCTTTCCTTCACAAGAAAAGTCTGTCTTTTATGTGGCTAAAACAGCATCCTAGATATCTGTCTGTGTGTTCTTGTGAATCTGTATTCCACTACATTTTAGTAATGTTCTTGAAGCTTTTTAATGTAACTCTTTTCATAATCAATCATCCCCACTTTTACTACACTATGCTAACTATACGAGTATTACTTGAGAAGTTTACATTTTAGAAATGAAAAAAAAATGTGAATTTTTAACCAAATTACTTACTCTGATCTTGATACACTATAACACCAGAATAATAACAAAAAATATTCAAGGGGATTTTTTTTTTTTCCCCCCCAAAATAAAACAACCCAAAAGTGAATAATTAAAGCTAAATGCTGTTAGTGCAGAAGTAATGTCCTCAGGGGACTTTTTGCTTGCATTAGCAAGATCTGGAACCAAGTTTAATTTTTTTTCAAGTGTATCTCAGTGCATAAATGACACATTTTAGTAACTGCTGAACACAAGGTGTAGCAGAGGCTTGACTCCTAAAGCATGTTTCTTGCAACATACTTCTAGTCTGTAAGCCTCCTTCTACTTTGTAATACTGCTGTGGTGGAACTTTCTTGATGTATTTAAAATGTTACCAAACAGACACTAAAATCTGTGAACACCCAAAGATAATTGCATGCATCATTGTCACGGCTTGCAATACACAGAATTTACTAAAATGTGCTTGGTCATTTGCCTTCACTTTTTTGATAGAGCACTTTTACAAGAACAACTTTTTAAATAGGTTTTTAATTTTGTCTACTTTGTATTGTTTGTATTAATCTTTTAGAAGTTTGGAAATAAAATTCCTTTCCCTCTTTGCTTTGAACTCATTGTGTAATTGTAATAAAGAGCAGCTAGTGCAAGGAAGAGGATACTTGGATTTTGCAGTGGGAGGGAAGGCCTCAAGATCTTTGTTCTTTTGGGGAACAGAAGGTTGGATTTTTAGAAGCTGTATCATATTAGTAGAAAAGTCCTATTCGTATCAATTTACCATGTTTTTAAATACTAACAATGTTATGTGACTCACACATTTTGAAGCTGTAAGGAAAACTCTGCAGTCTGAGTACTTAGTGTTCATGAATGTTAACTGAAATGGGGCAACAATGTCCTCCAGACAGTTCAGTCTTTGTCAAATATTTTCATTGCAGAAAGACTCCAAAATGAGAACTGTAATACTGACAGTATGTATTGTGCCTTTAAATACAGAACAGTCTTCTTTCAGTGTTTCTCTTCACTCTGAATTCCTTTCACTGTAAGCTATTTAAGTATAGTAATTTTTCTATTAGTACTGGGCACAGATATGGAAATCCAGAGAAAACCAAATTACTCTTGCACAGAGGCCATCAGAGGTTTGGTTTGAGGCCAAAATGTTAAAGATACTGAGGAGTGTGAACATCAAAAGCCTTTGGACAGCCAACATATGACTGCTGCCTACTTCCTCCCAGGCAAGCCCTTCGTATTTCTTCTACCTCTTGAGAAAGAACCTCCCCTCATCCCACACCCGTTTCTCTCCCCAGAAGCCCTCTTGCGTGCACTTTCAGGCTCAGCAATGTCAGTTGGAGCTTGGGTTTAGAAGTGGCTGCTGAGCTGGCATAAGGAGTGGCCAAATCACAGTGTACAGCAGAGAGCCACCACTGCTAGACAGTCACCAACCACTGTTGTTTCTTGGCTGCCCTGCCCAACTCCATCCGGTCTCTTGCAGCTGGAGCACCAGGTCAACACAGCTGGAGTAGCACTGTGAGCAGGACCTGGCTGCATCAGGGTCTTGCACCATCAAAACTAGAAAGATCTGTGCAGCAGTTGTGAGATGGATTGGGAACACTCCACTCCAATGTCCCTCTGAGCATGGTGTTTATTCCTCAGACATGGATTCCAGCCTCTTCAGAGCAGTGTGGTTGCTGCACCTCCTCGCTCTCAGGTCCGTGCATATCTGAGCTGCTGAGTAGAAGCCAGGAGAGGTGCAACAGCAATGCTACCTCTGCCCTCCCAGGGCACGTTCTGTGAGAGAAGTCGAGTGTCAGAACAAGCTCCACAACAGGACTGGTCGGCACTGAGGCTCTTTGGTTCCCATTGGCAATCAGTTTGGTGAAATATGCCCGTGCTGGTTACTTTGTGCTGGCTGGGTGGCTGTATCTCAGCAGTTCAGCATTTCCAGGTCCCCTTTCCTTGGCATAACCAAAGAAACCGACAAACGAGCCTGGGTGGCTGACAGCTTCTGTAGGCAGGAGAACATTTGTCCCTTACCTACTCAGTCTACAGGGCAATGTCTTTTCTCCAGCTGCAGGTGTACCTGGGTTTGCACAACCGCTGAACTGAACTCAGTGATGGCTTAGACCAGGGCTACCATCACATTTTGCCACTTGTGCTCCAACAGGTGTGATCTGCAGTGAGGTGGACAACTGTGGGCAGCATCTCAGCTTCCTTTACCATAGACTATCCAAGAGGGCTATCTGCTGCACAGAGGCCTTTGATACCATCTGATGGCAGCAGGTCCTAGAGGATGCCCACAGTAAAGAAGGTTGAGTGAGTGTGCACATTTGTATGCTCAGTGCCTCACATGAGCCACAAGCCCCCTTTTCTCACAGTCACCTCTCCCAGCTGATCAGCAAGGCTCTTCTCCATCTACAGCTGCCTCCTGCCTGGTCACTAATATGTTTGTAAACTTGTTCCAGGAGTGGAGTGTCCCTACCTGCTTATGTAAGACTGGACATTAGATTTTGTACTGTGCCTTTTTGTCTAAGAATTAGTTGCTTCCTAATTCACAGGTAATATGGGGGGG